GATCGTCCAAGAGCCAAAACATGTTTGAGACGATCCCTTAAACACACTTATTATACCCTTGCAGAGGGTATTATAATTTTGTCGTGAAATGTGTAACGCAAATGTCCAACCCCATAAAGTATATACATTCTTGATCAGTATCAAAAGCCGAGTCGATATAGCCATGTCCGTCTGTCCGTCTGTCTGTTTCTATGCGAACCAGTCTCTCAGTTTTAAAGCTATCTTTATGAAACTTTGCAGAAGTCCCTCTTTCTGTTGCACGCAGTTCATATGTCATATGGATCGGACCACTATATCATATAGCTGCCATAGGAATAAATAAATAAATATAAAGATATCTTGTTCAAACTCGGCATTTATTAGTTTTACTATGCTCCTCATATATATGCTAAATCCTATTATGATCGGATCACTATATCATATAGCTGCCATAGGAACGATCGGTCGAAGGGTTCGAACACGTTACTGACCGCGCTGCTTTCCGACACCTCTACTCAATAGCCACACCAATAATTAAGTCTTGGTGAGAAAAAAACTAATTAAAATAGCAGCACAGAAAACAATATATTAGTAATTGCAATGATGTTGATAGAATTCAAAGAAGACGCGCATTAATGTGTGTGTGTACATGTATACAGAAATTCTTGTAATTTGCGCTTGCTGCTGCACGTGTTTGCAGGCCAAACACATTTTCTTTCGTGTTTCTGAACCGATCTTGATGAAATTTGCAGTAGTAGATCGCATTGTACTATAAAATATTCGTTTATTCTCAAAATGATAATTGTATTTAAATTGTGGCTTAATTGGGTAGGCAATAGCTATACAATAAAAGATACTTGATATACATATACTATTCTAGAAGCAAAATGTCAAATTTGGTGACTCTAGCTCTTATAATTTACCACAATTGCTCAAAGAACAGGATTTCGATATCGATTTTTATCGATTACCTGTTATCGAATATCGGAAGCAAACTCGATCTGCGCATGATCTAGGAGGACCTACAGCTAAAATTCCAAGTCTCTAGCTCTTATAGGTTCCGAGATCCTTGTCCACACGGACAGACAGACGGACATGGCTAAATCGACTCGGCTGTTGATGATGATCAAGAATATATATATTTTATGGGGTCGGAGATCCTTCTTCTGCCTGTTACATACATTTGCACAAATACATTATACCCTTTTTGCCCATTTTCAATGGGTTCAGGGTATAAAAAAATTAGATTCTAAGTCTAAATGCCATTTAAGTTGTTTAATAAATTTTAGTTGACAAACGCTTTAGTCACCTTTTTTTACTATTAATTTAAAGGTGGTATGCTTAATATTTTGCGCCACTACTGTAAGGTGCACAGCTGTTACGCATAGCATTCTATCAATTTCTTTTACCGTTGTTTAATCAGGTAACACATGAGCTCAGTTCACGATTTGGCACAAGCCAATAAAACAACAACAATGGTGTAAAATATTGTACGCATGCTCAGGTGGCAGTTAGAAAAATCTTACTTTGTTTTCGTGAACCTGCCGAGTGATACCCTGGGTAAACAGAACAAGTCTAAATTATAATGAGAAGCTCCGGCTTACCATTAAGCAGATCCAGCGACGAACGTACTTTCGGCGGTGTCCATACTGAAGTGGTGTTTGTACATATGTTCAAAGGCAATATTAATTTTACTGTCGCATTATTTTTATATGAATTAAAGTTTAAAAAAAATTCTATTCGCCGACAAAAATCACTTTGCTTTTTACTTATTTTGAAATCGGCAACTTTTCGCTTTAACACATCATACACAACGCAAGGAAAAATAAAAAAAAAAGGAAATATTTTCAAAACAAAAATGGCTGCTCGGTAATTAACTATTCTAAAGTTTTAAATTATTCGAGCTTAGCAAACTTGTAACATTATTTAAATCAAAAATATTTCACACTGTAAAGGTGCGAATCTGTGTACGCCAGAAAAAGATAATTAGGAAAAGGCACACAGCTCAAGAGCAATGAGCGGCTGGTCCGCAAGAGAAGAGAAATATTTACCCTTTTAGGATTGGCACCAATATGCAAATTTGAAATGTTGTTCCGTCTGACAGCTGTGGGCTTAGCTTTCTGAAGCCTCGCCAACTATGCGCCAATTGATAGCCGCCAGGATGGGCTCAGCCCAGCTAATGCCATTAAGCATGAATTTCTTTTCTGTAGTATTCAAACTTACAGTCTTTTATATTTTCGCAACAAATAAATAAGGTAGTGTTGGTAGTGCCAACTTTGTGGTAATTAGTTATTTTTATATTGAGCATGAAAAAATAAAAGAACGTGCTTGCAGGTTACGCTGCTAAACTTTATGCAAATTATAAAATGCGGCTGCACTGGTTGACAATGGCAGAAAAGGTTGAGTCTGGCTGGCGGCAGTGGCATCTAACCTCTCAGTGTCGAAAATTCGCAGACACGCATTTTTCTTGTAGATCGAACACAACTGTGCAATTTTCAAGGGTCTGCATGCTTCACTAAACGCGTCGGCTGGCCAGGCCTATGGGATAGGCCCTTTCCTTGCCAGGACGTTAGCTTGGTTGCGGAGCTTAAACAGGTAGCTTGCTGGTTTTTCGTTGATAATGGATCCTACCATAAGAACCCTAAGGTCCTTTTCGATATCTCGTGTGCGAATATACCATTCGGCTCATGAGATTTTTCGCAAGGTCTTGACCTGGATGATGCAAAGTTTGTTAAGGTGCGCCTTTGCGGCTATACCGTAAACCTGGAGCCCATATCGTCACACAGGGGCAAGGATTACCTTATAGATAAGGACCTTGTCTCGGAGAAAGAGTTTGTTGTTTGGGTTTTGCAGCCAGCTCAAACGCCTGCTTTTCATTTTGATAGTTACCTCGGTGACATGTTTTTTAAGTCGTCTGTCGAGGTTGATCCCTAGGTATTTATGGTCACGCACCTGTTCTAAGAGCTCGCCATGGAGGAAAATTCCGGGACAGGAGTCCTTGCGCATAGGACAAGAAATACTAACCCCACTAGTTTAACGTTTTCATACCCTGAACCCGTTAAAAATTGATACAAAGAATATAATGAATTTTTTCAAATGTGTGTAACAGGCAGTAGGAAATATCTCCGACCCCATAAAGTATATATATTCTTCATCAGCATCAATAGCCTAGTCGATCCAGCCATGTACAGCAGTCTGTCCGTCAGTCCGTCACATATAAACAAGTAAGAGGCTCTAGTCGGGAGTTACCGACTAGGGGATATCCTGAACCCTCTTCTACCAACACCAAATTCATGTTGCGCTACGTGCTCGTTTGCTTTAGCAGTAATACAAATTAATTTAAAAAAAAAACAAGCTCCTTCAATAAGACTCGAGCCCGTAACAGACCACACTGCTTACTAATTGACTCTGAGGGGAAAAAACGAATTAAAATAGCAACACATACACACATCACAGAATACAATACAATCGCAATTGCAATGCTGTTGATAGAATTCAATAAAGACGCGCGTGAATGTGTGTGTGTACATGTAAACACAAATTCTTGCCATTTGCGCTTGGTGCTGCAACCACGTGGGTTCTGTGTTTCTTAACCGATCTTGATGAACTTTTCAACAGTAGATCTTATTGTACCATAGAATATTCATGTATTCTCAAAAAGACAATTGCATTAAGGTTATGGCTTAAATTGGTGGTCAATACAAATTTGTGTGTTTTTACTTGATTTATAGCAATAAGGTAGTAGCGGGGAGGTGGCGATAGCTATAAAATAAAAGATACCTGATATATATGTATATACTATTCTGAAAGCAACATGTCAAGTTTGGTAACTCTAGCTTTTATAATTACAAGATTTCTTCGAAAATCATGATTTTGATACCGAATTTTATCGATTTCTCAAAAACGGGGCACGCTATCGATTATCGGAAACAAACTCCTACTGCACGGGCACTAGGAGGACCTACGTTCCATTTCAAGCCTCTAGCTCTTATAGGTTCTGAGATCCTTGCGCTCATTCATACGGACGGACGGACAGACAGACGGACATGGCTAGATCGACTTGGCTATTGATGCTGATCAAGAATATATATAATGCATGGAGTCGGAGATGCTTCCTTCTTCCTGTTACAGGCACTTGCACAAATACATTATACCCCTGCTTATAAATACGAACAGGCGGACACCGCTAGATCGACTTAACTATTGATGCCATTGAGTAAAACTATATATATTGATGCTAAGCTAGAATATATATACATCCCTTAAAAATCATTTGGGTCAGGCAATGCCTGTTAGTAGAGAGTATATCTTTTGGCCTGCAAGCAAGCGAACAAATGTTCTCAATTTATCTTTTACCGGGATTTTGTCTTAATAGCCTTGCAGAGGGTATTGTAACTTTGTCTCGAAACGTGTAACGCATAGAAGAAGACATCTCCGACCCTATTAAATATATATATTTTTGATCAGTATCAACAGCCGAGTCGATATAGCCATGTCTGTTTCTATGCGAACTAGTCTCTCAGTTCCAAAGTCATCGCTATGAAACTTTGCATACGTCCCTATTTCTGTTGCACGTAGTACTTATAACAAAACCGGCTGGATCGGACTACTATATCATGTAGCTGCCATAGGAACGATCGGTCGAAAATTAAGTTTTTGTATGTACAACTTTTATGTTTACAAGATATCTTGACCAAACTCGGCGTTTATTAGTTTTACTATGCTCCCTAGATGTATGCCAAATCTTATCTTCACATCAGATCTTTATATCATATAGCTTCCATAGAAACGATCTGTCAAACATTATGTTGTTCTATGGAAAACTTTTTTGTTTTTCAAGATATCTTAACCATACTCGGCGTTAACTATTTTTCCTGTGCTTCTTAGATACGAGCAAAGCATTATGAGCATTATGGTTCGGTCTGCAAGGGTATTAAATCTTCGGCGTGCCGATTATATCCCTTCTTTCTCATTAATCTTACGCTTTATATCTTTTCTAACTTACTGTACCAATTTTGCAGGAGAGCATCCTGCGGCCATGCATCATGGAAACTCTGCGCCCTTGCAGCCGCCGGAATTATTTTTACTAGTGCTGCTTTCATGCGGATTATTATTCTTTTTGGAGTCACCCGCGCAGTTTATCCATCGCTCTACCACATACCACAACACAACCGGTTCAACCACATCCACGCAAGAAAGCCCAATCGACTTAATCAACTGCCTAGAGCAGCAACGTCATCGACTACACCGAAACCAAGTGGAGAGTAGCATTTGGCCGCCAGCCACATAGCTACCTGAAACACAATGCGGATGTATATACACAAGCAACTTCTAAGTTTCCTAGGGCTCTGAGTTTTTCTCATGTTTTTAGATCTCGTTATTACTAAATTAAAAAAGAAGTTTACTTAAGCCAACCCAGAAATTTTGATAAATTTTCTTAATATATTATTGAGTAATAGGAGTTATTTAAATTCTGAATGTTGGCTTTGAAATGCATCATGTTTGGGAATGGTGCTCAATAAAACTGGTACGGTAATATACAACACTGATATACACACAGACACTTTCAATCAGATATTGTAAGTAATGCTGTTAGACTAATTTTTCTATTTGTCAATACTTAAAGTAAGTTTCAAAGGTAATCTTTGTCAGTTAGAGCTTGAATATTCGTCTGTTCTATTTCGCTTCCTCAAGAGATAACACTTGATAAGCAAGCAATACTTTTAGCTTATACATTTGTCTAAAGTTGTATAATTACAGGTCCCAAAGGCAATTTACTTTATTTGTCGTTGTTTCATCTAGAATATATGTATGTATGAAGCTAAATATAAGACAATTTGCGTTCATAAGAGTTCATTATATGCAGATAAATTTACATATATTGATATACATACGTATATAAATATATTAATATGCATACGTATACTCTAGGCTGGGCCCAAAATAAATTTGTTGGAAATTTTAACGGGACACTTCAATTTTATTATCCTACATAAGATATTGCTAATTGTGGAGCATGCCCACATTTGGCATGAAGAAATCGTATAATTGCGTTGCGTTGAACATCACCATACGTACATGATGCAAAAATGTCAGTGATTTTTGTGTTGACAGAAAAAAATAAATACTATTGATATCGATGCACAGTTTCTTGAGCGTCAGTTATTTTGTTCAGTTGCGTATGCACGAACAGTTTGTGCGCATCGTTGAAAATTAAAATGAAATTAATCTGAATACCAAGTACTTTTTATTTAATCGGCAAACTGGGTACAATAGGCCCGGACACAATTAAAATAAAATAATTGTTGCTTTGGTGTTCAAAATACAATTAAATAAGCAACTTTAAATAAAAGTGACTTGTGCTTGTGAGAAGGAATAAGGACCATTTATGCGAACAAGTGAATCTGCAAACAATAAAACCAAAATAATATTGTGAAAAATACTTGAAATAAAAAAAGTAAATATAAAAAATGTATTAATTTCTCAGCAATCATTGCCTGCTCTTACCGTTAAAAACCCACATATTAAGAAATGTATGTACGTATGTATGTGTATGTGAGCATACGCTTACGTGCGATCACAATGGCCAAATTGCGCGCGGCTATTGAGTAATACAGAGAAGAAGCGGAAAAGTTACTAAGTGCATTTATTACCGTTTGAAAGCTGATGCGAGGTTCACTGGGTTCGTCTGCAGAAGCAGTATCATACAGAAACAAGTAAGAGACTCTAGTCGGGAGTTCCCGACAAGGGGATATCCTGAACTCTCTTCTACTAACACCAAATGCAGCTTGCGCTACGAGCTCGTTTGCTTTAGTATTAATAAAGATAAATTACAAAAAAACGTTTCCTTGGCAGGGTTCGAACTCGCAACTAACCGCACTACTTGCCGCCGCCTCTATTCAGTTTCTTCGGTAAGTCTCGAATTCGCAGCAGACAAAAAAAATATTGTTTCCTCGGTCGGTTTCGAGCTAGCAGCAGACCGCACTACTTGCCGCCGCCTCTACTCATCAGCCACACCAATAATTGAGTCTTAATGGGAAAAATTGGACAGTACAAGTTGGTTCATAAACTTGATTTATAGCTTTGCGGTGGTAGCGGGGGGGTGGCGATAGCTATAAAATGAAAGATACTTGATATATATACATTATTCTTTAAGCTACATGTCAAGTTTGGTAACTCTAGGTCTTATTATTTACAAAAATTGCTCAAAAAACAGGAGTTTGATATCGATTTTTATCGATTACTTGGAAACGGGACAAGTTATCGAATACCGGAAACAGACTCGATCTGCGCGGGCACTAGGAAGACCTACAGCTAAAATATCAAGTCTCTAACTCTTATAAGTTATGAGATCCTTTCGTTCATACATACGAACAGACGGACAGACAGACGCACATGTCTAGATCGACTCGGCTTGTGATGCTGATCAAGAATATATATAATGCATGGAGTCGGAGATGCTTCCTTCTTCCTGTTACAGGCACTTGCACAAATACATTATACCCCTGCTTATAAATACGAACAGGCGGACACCGCTAGATCGACTCGGCTATTGATGCTGATAAAGAATAGATATACTTCATGGGGTCGGAGATGCTTTCTTCTGCCTGTTACATACATTTGCACAAATACATTATACCCCTTTTACAAAATTTCAATGGGCTCAGGGTATAAAATAGCTTCCTCGGTAGGGTCCGAACTCGCAACAATAA